GATTCGACCCGCCGCGCCGATCGCGAGCGAGGAATCGAGCGGCGATGTGCGCGCGGGCTCGCGCGACCTTCCGCGACTGAGAGAGACGGCACCATCGTCGAGCCGGCGCGGCGCGGCGCGACGCGTGACGATCGTTGCAAGTCGAACGACTCGGATCAACGCTCGATTCTACGCTGCTATTGCAGAGATCCGGTAGGGCGCGCGAGGAAGCGGCCGAGGCGTTGAGGCAAGGGAACGCGGCGGTGGATGATGGAGCGACGTCCAAGGGTAGGCGCGCGCGGACGTTGCTGACGAGCGAGCACGAGCACGAGCACGAGCGCGAGCGCGACGAGCGCAACAACGACGACCACGACGACGACGACGACGACGACGACGACGAGCGAGACGAGCAAGACGAGCAAGACGACGACGAGGACGAGGAGGAAGCAGTCGAGGAGGCAGTGGTGGCGGAAAGGGTGGTGGTGGTGGTGGCGGTGGTGGGCGACGAGGGAAACGTGGAAACGAACGACGAGCCTGCCCGCGGCGGCCTCGAGAGATGCAGCAACAGCCACATTCCGGCCAGCAACCGTCCGGTGGTGCGCCGAACGGGGTGGCGGGGGGCGCTCAAATGCCGCAAACAGGTGGCATGAGCCCGGCGCAACCTGGCGCGACCGGCACCGCCACCGCGTCCGCCAATCGGGCGCAGGTTAACGGCGGTAGATTCGACTTCGACGACGGCGGCACCTACTGCGGCGGCTGGGAGGACGGCAAGGCCCACGGACACGGCGTGTGCACCGGGCCCAAGGGCCAGGGCGCCTATTCCGGCAGCTGGCATTTCGGCTTTGAGGTCTCCGGGGTCTACACCTGGCCTAGGTGAGTCGAGTTTACGCGCGGGACACTGTCTCGTCTCGTCTCGTCTCTTCTCCTGGCGGTGCGATCGTCAACCCTAACTCGTCGCGGCGAGAACTCGCGCGAGTCGGTCGGCCGCGTCACGGAGATAAGTCACGAGTGATTACGGTAAACGCGTTAGTTGAACGCGGCACGCTTGGCTGATCGCGCTCATCGGGAGCCGGAGGGGGGAGGGGGGGGGGAGAGGAAGTAATCTTGCATTTCGTGCGCTCTCGCGGCACTCCCGAGGTTCGCACGGCGACCGTTGTTCCATCTGCAGCGTTGCTTCGCGCAGAATTAACGCCGGGTTGGTGCGCGAAGCCGGGTCGAGTGTGCGGGTAATTTTCAGGTTCGTTATCCAACCTCACGTCCGCTGCCTCTCCTCCCCCCCTCTCTCTCTCTCTCTCTCTCTCTCTCTCTCTCTCTCTCTCTCTCTCTCTCTCTTTCTCTCTTTCTCTTGCGCGACGTCTCGGACAGCGTCTCGTTCGCGTCGCGACTGCCGCGAGCGAGTTACGAGCGTAGCGGCGAAGTTGCTCGAAGCCCGACGAAGCGAGGCTGTTTCGAGCGGTTCGCGCGCTCGATATCCGGGAAGAGGAAAATGTCTTTCGCTTGGATATCATCGGCAACGGCTTTGCCGTCGGGCCCGCGCGAAATTGATGAAACTCGCGGCGTCGCGCCACGCCGCGCCGCGCCGCGAGATGAGCGAATGGCGGCGGACCTTGACACGTATTCCAGTGTATACCTGAGAGGGAATCTCCCGATCCTGCGAAAGTGGGTCACCGAGCGCAAGGACAACGAGACCGGGTCACCGGGATTCGCGAGCCGGCAGGACCTAGTTCAGGGCCGTGCGGCGTGATCATTGTCGAAAATCCTCGCGAGGACGAGCGCGCGCGCTCCCGATCGAGCTCCCGATTCTTCTCTTGAGGGATTCATCTCGTGTAAAGTTTTTTTCTTCTTTTTCTTTCGTTTTCTCTCTCTCTCTCTCTCTCTCTCTCTCTCTCTCTCTTTTCTTTATATATAAACTTTTCATCGAGAGGACACTGATGAAATAAAAATAGGATGTTCTTCCGGCTTCGAAGAACCGATTCAAAAGGGAGATGAATGCAAATTGAGCTTTGTCGAAGGCTCTTCAGCGTTCCTCGTTCAGAGAGAGAGGGAGAGAGAGAGAGAGAGAGAGAGGCGCGTCTCTCTTCCCGTTAACGGCGATGTCACCGACGACGAGAGCGCGCCGCTTCCTTAAGCAGTAAAAGCAAACGGGTACCGGCGGCAACGTGCGCGCCGCCGGTACCCTTGAAGGATCGATCGATATTTCGGCATTATATCTCGGCATCGCGCAAGGTGCAACAATGTGCCTGGCTCTGCGAGAATTAAACTCTGCGCCACTTTGCCGTACAGCCGCATTCGGCAATCTCCCACGGTGAAAGTAGCTGGATTCAGTTAGGATAATCGCCGAAACATCTTCCCGTTTTCCCGGAGGTTCACTATCGACCGGTAGCTCGCGATGAGGAGGCACTGCGACGCGATTCGAGAGGAATCGCCTCTACCGTACGTGACGCGAAGAGCCGAAGGAGGCCTGGCGATCGTGTCGGTCGGGTATTTTTCTAAGTCACGCATGCAGCGGAGACCCAAGTGAGTAAAAGGATGTAATAACGTCGAGATAACACGCGACGATCTCGTTCGTGTTTGGTGGTGTTTACAGAACGTGGTTTACAAAACGCGCCGTTACGACTGTTTTCTCGGTGCATGGGACTGGGGCTCGAGTGTGGGAAGAGATTTCCGAGATTTTCACCGAAGAATATTCTTTTTATTCACAATTTTACGATACACACGCGACGATGTGTGACTGCGGGAAAATGTCCGCTCGTGCGGCTAAAAGCGCAGAAAGCGAACGAAAAATCAGGGACGGGGACGGCTGTATATATAAAAAGGGCCGAGACGACTGAAAGTGAGGAAACCGAGAGCGATATTGGACCGAGTAGTAGTGGATCTCCTGCTGGGGATCTTTCCGTGTCTTCCGGGTCGAGTTTTCGTCTTCTTTTCGCCAGGCAACAGGAAATTCACTTAGGGGAGGGGGACATGTTTTTCTTCGTTCCGCATACTTTTATTCCGATGCAAAACGCTTTTAGTCGAAATTTCGAGTAGCTCGTCGGAGCGGCGATAGCCGCTTGCGCGAAGCAATAATCGACTCTGTTCCTTCGCATTACACGCCGCAGACGTTTTCCCGCTGCGTTGGTCGCTGCATCGTTTCAGCCGGTCTATGAGGATCTCGTCGGGGCGAATCTTACATTTTCGCCACGTATCACGTCGCGCGAATATGAGCTCGATCTCGTTTCACCCTCGCTCGTCTACGGGGGACTCTGGGATCTATTTGAAAGTAAGTCAGTTTCTTCCTGGCGCGGTCTCCGCCGCCGACTCGGCGGCTCGAGAAGCAGGGCGAAAGGAGCGACATAAAAAACGGGAAAATGGAGTGGGGATGAGACAGATGATGAGATCTCTCTTCTTCTTCCTCTCTTCTTCTTCTTCTTCTTCTTCTTCTTCTTCTTCTTCTTCTTGTTCTTCTTCTTGTTCTTCTTCTTCTCAAGCACGTATCTAGGCCGAGAGAATTCGTCGCTGCGTTTCCGTGTAAACTGGAGCAAGGTCTTCGACCACGTTTTCCTAGCAACATCCTCCGTAACGGCGGCGGCGGCGGCGGCGGCGGCGGCGGAGACGGCGACTGCGCTCTAGATCGTAACAATACTCGAAGTTAGAGTTCATAGATCGTGTACGTGTTGTCGACCACCACGTCTCGGAGAATGTCCGCTTCGCGTGCCTGGAATTTCGTCCCTCTCGCGCGTTCCTCGCCTCCGCCACGCGAGACGAGTAAAACGCTCGCGCCGCGAAAGACGTTTCACGCTACGCCGAGCGTGTGTGCCTCTGCGGAAGAAAAGAAAGGAATAGGTCAAGAGGAGCTTATTTTCACCCGGACAAGATGGAAATTACAGGACCCCGGCCGATTAGCACACGAGTGGGATTATATATTTAATCGGTCGTTATAATTGCAGCTTGTCGTCGAGATAAGACACGCGCGTTTCTTTTATTCATTTCTTGGCCACTTATATTTATGCCGCTCGAATACGTAATCCGAGAGTACGTTATCGTGCTCGCGGCTGTATTTATAATTAGAGAGCGTACGGCTGTGTGTGTGTGTGTGTGTGTGTGTGCAGCAACAATCTGTGCATCATCGGGGTTTATAACGTAATTAACGCGAACTGCAACGGCCCACGCGAACGGCACAAATTTGTGTCACGCGATAGACGCGTGGCTGTTCTTTCGTTATCGCGAGAAAAACATTTTTCCATTTCCGACGAGGGAGAAGGAGAAGGAGGCCGGAGGGGGGAGAGAGAGAGAGAGAGAGAGAGAGAAGGAGAATTCTCGCGTGGCGCTCTCCTCGTTTAAAAGTCGTCCGCAAAGACGCGTACGAGCGGGATTAACGACTCTTTCAAGAGATTCGCGCTTCGAGGGTATTTCATCTTCGTTTCCGCCCGGGCGGTGGCGGCGAAAGAAACTGTGTGTGTGTGTACATACGTGTGTACGTGTGTGTATAATCGTTTGGAGGAAATAATTAAAACGTAATACTGTTGACGACGGGCACTCGTCGGGCGATTTTCCGCGAATCTGAGCGCGGCAAGCGCGGCTAATTGTTTCCGTTGTTGGACGATCGCTCTCGCTCGATTAATTCCGCTTCTTTGACGATTACAACTGTCGCGAAGATACTTTAGATAAAGGCGCGTCGCAGGCGCGCGAGAGAGTCTTCTTCGGCGTCAAGTGTCAAAAGGATCGCGTCGTCGATAGCGACGACGCGACTTCCAAATTATCGTGGACTCGCCAATTAGGCGAGTCTGCAGTTTGCTTAGCGCAGAGACCGTGTAAACAGCGGCGTGATTGTCAGCGAGCGCATTTCCCGGGGACATTTGCGCGGCCGGGGGTTGCCGACGACGATCGAAAGACGCGAGGCGAAATTATCCCGTGGTGCGATGCGAGCGCGCCGCGTCGCGCCGTCCCGTCTTTGGCAGCTCTAACCGGGAAACACGAACCGTTGTTTCAGCGGGTCAGCTTACGAGGGACAATGGCAGAACGGCAAGAGGCACGGGCTGGGTATGGAGACGCGCGGCCGTTGGCTCTACCGGGGAGAATGGACGCAGGGATTCAAGGGCCGTTACGGAGTACGGCAGTCCACCACCTCCACGGCGAGATACGAGGGCACGTGGTCGAGCGGGCTGCAGGACGGCTACGGCTCCGAGACTTATGCCGACAGTGGTGAGTTTGAGGTCTCTCTCTCTCTCTCTCTCTCTCTCTCTCTCTCTCTCTCTGGGGAGCGAGGAGAGAAAGGAGCTCGGAAAAAGCAGAGCGGAGACGAATAAAAGGTACGCAGCCTGCGCGCTGCGATCGCTCGCAGCAAGTTCGACGACCTATTTTCAGGGCCACCTTGTTGTTGCACGAGCGCTTTATAAAACAGCAGTCGTGACGTATCGTGGTTTATCGATCGGCGATGCGCGAGCAGCAGCGATTCGACAGGTCGAGCCGCGGCTCTCTCGTGAGCCTCGCGCTCTCCTCGCACTGACTTCCCGTTCCCAATCGCACGATCGTCGCTCGAGCAGGGGGATCATTCCGGGGAGAGCCGGGGAGATTTCGTTCCTCGCTCCTCGCACGGCCGATCTCGTTCGCAACGTGACCGGAAAAATCCTCGCGGCCGGAACGCGGCCCCGAGAGAGCCGGCCTACGAAGCGAGACATCGTCGGTAAATAAATCACCGAGTCCGCCCAATAAAACTCCGCCGGTGGGAGAGCCGACACGGAGAGCGATAAATAAGCAAAGCGAGAACGACCGACGCGCGGCACGGCGGGACGGGGTCGTCGATTTCGCATTATCTCGGCGAGATATTTAGCCGCGCCAAGATTGACGGCCGAGCCGACCGCGACGTGGCGAAATCACGGGACCGCGGATCTGTGTGAAAATTGACGCGGTATTTAGAGAGAACGAATCTCTCATCGCGAGAGACCTCCCTTCGCTCAGAGAGAGAGAGAGAGAGAGAGAGAGAGAGAGAGAGAGAGAGAGACATCGTTGTCGGGAGGAGCGTGGACACGTTTTACCTGGAGACGTAATCGGCGCGCGTAGCGGACTAAATTTAAACGCGCCCGAATCGGATTCTCCGGCCGAAACAACATTGGTAAATATATAGAAAAGGGTACACCTCAGCGATTTTTTTCATTTTCAAATATGTTACAAAGGATGAAATTCTGAGTGAGAATACAATTATATGGGGGTCGCTTATAGTTTCTGAGATATTTGACTCAAAAGTTTTATATTTGTACGTTGAAGTATATTTGAGGTAGAGGTAAATATATAGAAAGGGGTACACCTCACTGGTTTTTTTCATTTTGAAATGTGATATAAAGGATTCTGAGTGACTTCCTGATACAACTATATGGGGGTCGTTTATAGTTTCCGAGATATTTGATCTTAAAGTTTTGGGATTTTGATTATCCTGGAATTAAATTCCAGATAGCATAAGCTGACGTTATTTACAGTACAATCCAAACAGTTAATCCAAACATAATGTATACATAGAAATATAGGAAACAGTACGTATAAGCGGGAGAGGGGGGGCTCCGCCCAAAAAAATCCTAACCTAACCTAACTTATTGCATCTTTATATAATGTTGAACGATGTTGAAAGGATCTCCTTAAAAGCCTTAAACGCCTAATCATATGCAGATATTATAATAAATTAAGTTGATAGATCTTAAGAGAACCTTTTTCAACAATGTATGTCCAAAAATATATAAAGATGCAATAAGTTAGGTTAAGTTAGAATTTGTTTGGGGAGGGAGTGCGGGGGAGGGGCGGAGTCCCTCTCCCGCTTATATGTACTATTTCCTATATTTAAAGTGAATGAAAACTGTTTGTCTACTTCAAATATATTTCAACGTACAATTATAAAATTTTTGAGTCAAATATCTCAGAAACTGTATCAGGAAAAGTCACTCAGAATTTCATCCTTTATAACATATTTCAAAATGAAAGAAATCGGTGAGGTGTACCCTTTTCTATATATTTACCACAACATTATACACGTGACGTTCGTGCGTGAGAAAATCGGGAATGCAGTCGCAATGGGAAAAGGGTCGTCCTTGGACGTTCTGGATTTTCGCCGCGCGAAAATCCAGAAAAGCACAGTCCTGGAATTTCACCGTGGGCCCGACGCGAAAAAAGAGAGAGAGAGAGAGAGAGAGGGAGAGAGAGGGAGGGAGAGAGAGAGAGAGAGAGAGAGAGAGAGAGAGAGAGAGAGAGAGAAAGAGACGGATGCGTGGGACTCGATTAGCGGATATTTCCAGTTGTCGTTTGTCTCGATTTCCAAAAACGACCGACGTCGAGCGCCTGGCAAATCTTTATTACGACTTTATTAGCGATCAATCTCGGAGGAGAGGTGTCCGATTCCAGCGCGGTGTCGCGGTTCGCCGGCTGTCGTAAATGAGGCACGAGGAAACTTTGATCGCGACGGATGATGTCACCCGATCGATACGGCGTCGCGAGGGGCGTCTTCTCGAGAGCGCCGGAGATTGATGGTACCGCCGCGCGACGATTGCGACGTTCCTGAAAATCGATGCGACCTTCGACAGCCTCCTCGCTCTCACAGCGCGCGCGATCCTTACATCAGCTCCTTTTTCCTTCTCCAGGGAGAAACGCCCTCTCCCTCTTACCCTCCCTTCTCTCTCTCTCTCTCTCTCTCGCACGTGCTCGCTCGCTCGCGTTTACCCTTGAATCTTGTCGACGTCGCGAATCAACTTTCGACCACCGCGCGAAATTCCGCGCTCACAGGTCGGCCCTGCCTCGAGCTGATCGACTCGCCCGTAATCGTCTCTCCTGTTCCCCCCCGGAGGGAGACGGGGAGGGGGAGGGAGAATTTCCTTCGGAACCTCATCTAATTGATCCGGGGGTTACGTTAAGCGGAGCGCCAACTGTCGTCGCTGTGGTTACGAATAAATGATACGCCGACTAGACAGACGAGCTCGTGTCACACAGCCTGACCGATGAGGAAGGAGGACCCCGATCGATCATCGCCGGGTAAAACGTCATGAAGTATTCACGCGTTATCTAGCGCGCCGGATTGTCGGCGTGGGGGTGTGTAAAATAGCGGCCGCGCTGAGTTAGCGCGACGACGACGATGTCCCGGGCTGTCGCTGCCGTTCCTCCCGCGGGATAAGTTGTTTGGACTTGGCGAGGAATGCCGGCGTTATGACAGATGTTGAATCTCAGCGCGCCGCGTCTCGGCCGAGTGAACCAAATGGGAAATCTCCCTGCAACTTTGTGGCGAGTTTCGGCCGGCGCTCTGCTTCGCACTTCCAGGGAAATATCCCGAGAACGCGCGCGCGCGCGCGCGCATGCGAGAAGAAATCGCCCAGTTTTAAGCGAGACGAGGAGGACACAAACCGGAGCGCCCGCTCTCGCCAAACGGTGCGGTCTCGACTCGGTTTCCTCGAGGGTCTCGTCCTGCGAGAGCGGTCGTTCTGCACGAAATTCTGCGAAATTTCCCGATTTCGCGCCTCCGTACGGAGTCGCCTAATTCAGAAATTGAAAGTGCTCTGACACGGCCACGTCATGTCGGACGCGCGCGCGGGTGCACACACATTATGCTGCGCCGAAAATAGCACGCCCGACGAAATCAGTCGACTCGATATATTTACCGAGCGCCGTAAATCGCCCGATAAAGGAGAAAGAGGAAGGGGCAAATGGAAGCAGGAAAAGAGAGAAAGGAAGGAGGAGATTCGCGCTCCGATACGAATTTCTCATCAATTATTATCGAGCCTCTCGAGTCGCTATGCGACTCCTTTCGTCTCGCGGCTCATGAAGATCCTCCCGTCTATTTCGCCCATTATTACGCAAAGATACGAAACTGTCTCCGAATAAATCTGTTCTCCGTTAGAACACACTGTACACCTATTATCCGCGATTGCTTCAATTTCCTGAAGATGGACCAGTCTAGGTGAAACTGAGAACGTGGGCAGCTGGGTCGTTTGGGGTCTAAATAAAGCGCTGAAGAGCATTGGGTAGAATGAAATGCAATAAAACTTATCCGCGCTGCCGGCCACTCTCTCCTCCCTCTCTCTCTCTCTCTCCCTCCCCCCCCCCCTCTCTCTCTCTCTCTCTCTCTCTCTGTCTTTTGCAATGAGGGTAAGTGAAGTGTCAGCGCTATTTCGACGCGAGATCGAGCCAACCGCTTTCTATCGCAAATCGGCCGGATGTCGAGAAGCGTTTATCGCGGACGCTGTTTATATACCGGACGCCGTCCGGTATACCCGCCGCGTTTCATTGCATACGTTAGGAAAAAGCGCGACGGGTCAGGTCATTTTCCGAGGTGCGAACCACCGAGGAGTAACGAGATTGGCGAGTATCGCCGTCCGAAGAATCCTCATCGCGCGATTCCTCATCAGCGAGGCGCTTGAAATCCGTCTTGGAATAGGCAGACGTACGGTCCGTCGTTCGCACGACGGTTTTCACCGACGTTTTCCTGCCGGTGAAGTTGAGAAAGCAATCGAAACGGTCGCGATTGAGAGCCGTTCACTGATAAGCCCGTAAGCGGTAATCGGTTGTGACTAGAACTGAAGATGAGACGTATGAGACATCCGGTGTCACAACTGCCGCCGAGGCGGAGGATGCAGAAAGAGAAACGCCGCTGCCTTTGTTACATCCTGTCGGACAAGGCTTCTCCGCGACGTGAACTGTCAGCGTCGGTTCTCGGTGAAAATTCCAATTATAAATCGCGCAAGCTAAATCGCGCGACTGCGAGCATTCGCTGCGCTCCCAACTTCATCAAAAGGGAAAGAAAAAAAAAAGAAAAAAAAGAAAAACAAAAAGATAACGCGTACACCGGCTCTCAAAACACTCGGTAAACATCCTTTCCGCGACGTGGCCGCGAAATATCCGATGAGAGAAGCGAATTTCCGCGAAACTTTCCCAAGCGAGCCTCCTCAGCCGACGCATCGGCCGCGTTTCGAGAGGAGTCCGAGCGGCGGAAGTGGCTTGCGAAAGCTCGGCTGCGCGTCTGAGAGAAACGAAGCTTCGCTCGTCCCTCAACTCTCGCCGCGAGACGCCACGCGGAACGGGAGATGCACGTGTGTGATGTGCGCATCTCGCGCGGAAAAGGGCGAGTCCACGAGGACGCGCCCAACTTTTCCGCGGAAGGCCCCGGTTGGTTCACCTCCTCTGCTTTGAACCCCTCCGCTGCGGGTCAAGGTCGCCCACGGTCTTACCCACCT